CCCGGGTCTCTACCACAGGGTCCATTCTCAGGGCACCATCCACGTGGACTTTGGCCCACCGGCTCCCCCTCTGCGCCCTCCCAGGACCACGGCACCCCCTTCGACCCGCCTACACAACGTCCCCCTGATCTACTCCACCCGCAGCTCCGTCCCCGCGGTGACGTCTCCTGCCCAGTCCCCTGTCACCTTCCACCACAGCACCTCCAAGATATTGGCTGGAGGACCGTCGACGTCCAAATTCTGGGTGCTGGGGGAGAAGCCCCAGATTGTCACCAAGTCCCCGCAGACTGTGTCCGTCACGGCTGAGACGGATTTCGCGTTCCCGTGTGAGGCCACAGGGAAGCCCAAGCCCTTCATCACCTGGACGAAGGTTTCCACAGGTAAGGGGCTGACGCACCTGGATTGGGGCCCTGGGGGGTGCTTCTGCAGTCTGTGGGCTCAGGCAGGACCAGAGCTCTGGGAAGCTCAGGGGTCGGTGGGACAAGGCGAAGCATCTGAGCACTTAGACTCGGTTCCTTTCCGGAAAACGGACGCCAGGGACTAGCCTGTGGGTGACATATTAATGGCGGCATGGAAACACGTCCTTTGGTCCTTTCAATAGGAAATATCTTAGGCTCTGAGATCTTCTGTAAGGGACCCTCCTGCTGGCTCAGGGCCACCCTGAGGACCTCACGGCACCTCCCTCACCTCTGCAAAGACCCATCTCCACCCACAGCACATGCCAAGGTCCTGGGGTCAGGTCACCCTGGGGACCTCATTTTCCCTTGATCAATTCTTTAGCTCTCGGGGGTTAGAATTGCAGTGGGTCAATTTGAGGGAACCCAGTTTCGCTCCATGATAATGACCTCTACTTGGAATCCAGCTGTTCTGGCTGGAATAACCCCTCTTTTAGGGAAAGCATCATCATAAGGAGCATAAGCAGGTCACTCGGGAGGTCACCAAAAAGCAAATACCAAGGAAGACAGCATGAGCCATTTTAGAGTCGTAACAAAAACTCTTGGCAGGTTGGAAACAGAAAGAAAAGCTAAACCTCAAACAAATCATCTACATAAATATATATATATATATATATGCACGCCGGGTGTGGTGGTGTATGCCTGAAATCCCAGCAAACTGGGAGGCTGAGGCAGGAGGATCGCAATGTGGAGGCCAGGCTCAGCAACCTAGGGAGGCCCTAATCACTTACGGAGGCCTTGTCTCAAAAGAAAAAATAAATAAGAAGGACTGGGGTTGCCTGTTGGTGTCAAAGAGCCCCCGGGTTCAATCTCCAGGATCGCACAAAAGAAAAAAAAGAAAAAGAAAGAAAGAAAGATGAGGGAGGGATCCAGAAATAAGGTCATTTTTTTTGGTCCCTGGGGGAAGGAAGTAATGAGGCTTAGAATTTAGAGCCTTGAGAAATGTCATCAGCTCAGGAGCCTTTGGGGCGGGGAAACGTGGAAACTTCAGAGAACCAGAGACACAGGTCTCTGTTCGCTGTCCCCCTGACAAGCTGCAGCAGGTGATTCTAAATGACCCCAGGGAAACACGAGAGATGCTCAATTCAACCACATCAACCCGGCCAATTTCTCCTCCTGTGAACTCGGGGAAAGCCCTGTGGGTGGAGGTGGATGGGATCTTCAAGACTGGGGTGTCCATGTCCCCAGTACACACAGGTATAGACTAATAAGTGGATTAATCCACTTGGATGGATTCACTGGGTGTAGACTAATAAGTGGATTAATCCACTTGGATGGACTCACTGGGTGGTGGCTGCAGCAGGTGGGGTGTGGCTGGAGGAGGGGGTCCCTGGGCTGTGCCTTGGGGGTCTCTGTCCTGTCCCTGGTGGGCAGAGCTCTCTCTACTCCCTGGTGCCCTGTCCTGAGCTGCTCTCCTCCTCCAGGCCCTGCCGCCATCTTGTTCTGCCCCCCTTGGGCCAGAGCCGTGGAGTCGGCCACCAGGGACTGGACCATGAGCCCCAAAGAGACTTTTCCTCTAAAATTGTTGTGATCACAGTGATAAAAAATCTGGCTGGACACCCCGCCCCCTTTCCTCTGGCCCTGGTGACCACCTTTCTACTCTCTGACTCTGAATTCAGCTTGTGTAGCTAGATCCCCTGGTGGGTGTGACCAGGTGATTTTTGTCCCTCTATACCAGGCTCATTTCCCTTCACATCCTGCTGGTTGATCGGTGCTGTTGGAAAGGGCAGGATCTCCATCCTAGCAAAGCCGGAATGGTGTTCCCTGGTGGCCCCAAGACACGTTTTCTTATCCATTCCCCCTTTGATGGACACTTAGGTTGCTTCCATATCTTGGCGGCTGTGAATGGCGCTGCTATGAAGATCCGGGTGCAGATGTCTCATCTTTCCACATTTCCTTCCTCAGTTTTGGGGCTTCCAGAGGAGGACACCCTGACCAAGCCCTGATGCTTGCTGGGTTTTTAGGGAAATCGGTGTATTTGGGGCCGAGACCTAACCGCGATCTTTCTTGTTGGCCAGGAGCGCTCATGACGCCCAACACCCGGATTCAAAGGTTTGAGGTCCTCGCCAACGGCACCTTGGTCATCCGGAGGGTTCAGACGCAGGACCGGGGTCAGTACCTGTGCACGGCCAGCAACCTGCACGGAGTGGACAAGATGGTGGTGGCGCTGGCGGTCACCGTGCAACAGCCGCAGATCCTGGCTTCGCGCTACCAGGACGTCACCGTGTACCTGGGAGACACCATCGCCATGGAGTGCCTAGCCAAGGGCACCCCGCTTCCCCAGATCTCCTGGATCTTCCCGGACCGGAGGGTGTGGCACGCCGTGTCCCCCGTGGAGGGACGAATCACCCTGCACGAGAACCGGACCCTGTCCATCAAAGACGCCTCCTTCTCCGACAGGGGCGTGTACAAGTGCGTGGCCAGCAACGCGGCGGGCGCCGACAGCCTGGCCATCCGCCTGCACGTGGCCGCGCTGCCCCCGGTCATCCATCAGGACAAGGCCGAGAACATCTCGCTGCCCCCGGGGCTGAGCATCCACATCCACTGCTCGGCCCGGGCCGCGCCCCCGCCCACCGTGCGCTGGCTGCTCTCGGACGGCTCCCAGGTGCGCCCCTCGCAGTTCGTCCGCGGGAACCTCTTCGTCTTCCCCAACGGGACGCTCTACATCCGCAACCTGGCGCCCAAGGACAGCGGGCGCTACGAGTGCGTGGCCGCCAACCTGGTGGGCACCGCGCGCAGGACCGTGCAGCTGACCGTGCAGCGCGCCGCCGCCAACGCGCGCATCACGGGCACCTCGCCCCGGAGGACCGACATCCGGTACGGGGGGACCCTGCGGCTGGACTGCAGCGCCTCGGGGGACCCCTGGCCGCGCATCCTCTGGAGGCTGCCGTCCAAGCGCATGATCGACGCGCTCTTCAGGTAGGGGCTCCCCCAGCTCCCGGCGCATCCCTGGGCCCTGCGCTCGTCCTGCGTGTTGGGGGACGGACTTGGTGGCCCCAAGGGGCGAGAATCCGTGTCCACCATGAGGACGCTTAGGCACTGGGCCCTGAGGGCCCTTGTCCACACAGAGAGGTCTGTGTGCTCTCCACCTCCTGGTGCCCACCACAGCCCACCCCAGGGAGCCTCCAGCCCCAGAGGCCCGGAGTGCAGAGCAGACCTGCAGGACAGAGTCTCTTCCTGTCTAGCTGTCACCTGTCTGTCTGTCTATCGTCTGTCATCTACCAAATCTATCTAGGTGACTGTCACTTTGAGATGGAATGCTCTTGGCACCTGGTATGTGGAGCCCAGAGAGGTTGCTCCACCTCCTGCAGCGCACAGCACAGCCCACGCCAGAGCACCCCCAGCCCCAGAGGCCCACAGTGCAGGGGAGACCTGCAGGACTATCATCCATCCACCCAGCTGTCACCTGTCTACCTATCTATCTATCAATCATCTATCCATCCTGTCTATCTATCATCTATCTATCTATCTGTCATCTACCCATTCTGTCTTTCTGTCTGTCTGTCTATCTAGCTATCTCTCTGTCATCTACCCATTCTGTCTTTCTGTCTGTCTGTCTACCCCTCTATCTATCTGTCATCTACCTATTCTGTCTGTCCATCTATCTCTCTGTCATCTACCCATCCTGTCTGTCCAGGGGGCTCTCACACCCTGGGTGGGGCTGCTCCTGGCTCCTGGTGTGTGGGGCCCAGAGAGGCTGCTGCACTTCCTGCAGCGCACAGCACAGCCCACCCCAGAGCACCTCCCCCCTCAGAAGCCCCCAGTGCAGAGGAGACCTGCAGGACAGAGTGTCTGTCCATTATCTGTCCACCGTCTAAACTCTTTTCTACCTACCTACTATTATCTAGCCCCTGTCTGTCTGGCCATCTTTTATCCATAGGTCTATAATCCATCCTATTATCTGTTCATCTGTCTATCATCTGTCACTCAATCCGTCGCCTGTCCATCACCTGTCAATCGTCCATCATCTATCTTCTCTGTCCTGGCTCTTGATGACCCACCAGTTCAATATCCATCATCTCACTGACTGATGGCCACCGTCCTCCCTGGGAAATCGTGTCCCCCACCCTCGGGGGACACGCGGGAGTGTGGAGACCTTTCTGGTGTCTCCCTGGAGGGTCCATGTGCCCCTGGCTCCGGGTGGCTGGGGACCCGGGATGCCACTGCTGTCTAGGCTGGGCGCCGGGGTGTCCCCCCACCACAGAGATGCACCCGTCTGCAAAAGCCCAGGCCCCGGTCTGTTGCATACGACTCTCAGGAAACCGAAGACACGTTGGAGGAGCAGGAAATGAGGGAGAAGCTTCATCCTGCTGCGGCGGCTGCTGTGGAGGAGGAGGATGTGTGTGTGTGTGTGTGTGTGTGTGTGTGTGTCTTGCATCTGCACAGGCGAAAGCCTGGTCACTGGGTTTCCAGGTCCCTTGTGCACCCTGGGGACCTCTGGGACCCTCCCAGTGCAGGGATGATGCTCAGCCCCTCTCCCCCCCTGCACGTCCCACCCCAGGCAGCCGGGCGGTGCCGGCCCCGTCTTGCACAATCCCTGCAAACCTCCACGTATCCGGTTTCCCCTGGAACCCCTTCCAGCCCGGCAGATGGGCTCTCGGAGGACTCTGTCCTGGCCCCGGGCAGTGGCAGCGTTGAAACGTGGACAGCTCAGGAATGCGGATCCTGCCGGCGGCCGGCTGGCTGGCTGGCTGGCGAGTGCCTCTCTCAGGGTGTCCCCGTGAACCCGGATCCCGTAAATCACTCGCTCTCTGTGGCTTCCTTCTTACTAATCCCCCGCTAGTGACACTCTGAGACACGAGCAGGGAAGCCCCTTTGTGACAGCAATTCATCCATCACCACAGAGCGGGCTCCTTGGCCGGCCGACAGCTCCCGAGTTCTTTACAGATGCAGAGAGGCCCCCGGGCATTGTTGAAAACCACAGATTCTCGGAATGTCCCTGCAGAGGCCAAATCCCTGGGGTCGGGCAGCCCCGGTGCATGCTTCAGGTTTGCTTGCCTGGATTGCACCCGGGGCTGGGGAATCATTGCTAGAGAAGCTCCCTAGGCTCAGAAATGCAGGCTGCCCTAGGACATTTTGGATGCAAACTTGTTTCCATGCATTAAAAAAAAATGTGCTTCCCACCCCCGCCCCTCGCCCTGTTATGCTCAGGCCACTTACCAAGTCTGTGGCTTGATCGACAAAAAGACCAAATCACACAGTTTAACTGGTCAACGTCAGGGCTTGCTTTTATTAACAATGGTCAAGCCCGGTGCAGTGGCCCATGCCTGTCATCCCCGGGGGCTCTGGAGGCTGAGGCAGGAGGATTGAAAGTTCAAAGCCAGCCTCCGCCAAAGGGAGGCCCTAAGCAGCTCAGGGAGACCCCGTCTCTAGATAAAATGCAAAATAGGGCTGGGGACGGGGCTCAGGGGTGGAGTGCCCCAGAGTTCAATCCCAGGTACCAAGAAAAAAGAAAACAAGTCTGTATCTATCAATCATCCATCTTCATATATAGACACTGTATGTTTTATATATGTGTGTTCTGTATATATACAAATATATTTTGCATTCGGCTTATGTATGCATATTCTGCAAGCAGAATACATACAGGTGACCCCTGCATCTCTCTTTCTCTCTCTCTCTATACACGTATTTATAATGTTGAGATTTTTTTTTTGCATGTGTGTGTGTGCGTGCATGTGTGTGTGTGTTTAAAACTCTGTGATACAATCCTAGATGTGCCAGCAGAATGGAGCCGGGATTGGAATCCAGGCATAAGCAGCTTCTGTAGGCTGCCCGCTAGAAAGCAGGAGGCATTGAGATTTCCAAGGGGCAAGTCTGAAGACAAAACTTTGCACCCGGATGCAGACATTTGATCTCTCTCTCTCTCTCTCTCTCTCTCTCACACACACACACACACACACACTACAGAGCAGGACTCGGATCGCATTCCACACCCTTGAATTCTTTTTTTAAAGCAAGGAGAGACTTGCAGGGGGGGGGGGCGGGGAGGAGAAGATGACTCATGTGTTACAGTTACAGTTGGATAAGTTTAGAGACAGGGTCTTGCTAAGTTGCTTAGGGCCTCGCTAAATTGCTGAGGCTGGCCTCCTAACTTTCAATCCTCCTGCCTCAGCCTCCCAAGCCACTGGTATTACAGGCCTGCACTTACCCAGGTTCAGGCTTTGCTTTTAATTGACCCACAGCAATCGCGCATATCTATGAGCCATCCTGGGACGGTTGTTCAGGATGCGCAGTGCTCAATTTGGGGGTGATCAGCATCTCCAACACCTCCCACCATATCTTGGTGTTGGAATGGTGCGACACCTTCCCTTTTTGGACATGGGTGATCAATGACGGTGAGCCAAATTCGCCCCATGGGAATCCGCCCATTTCTGTGTTCTTCTTGGCAACCTAAAAAGCCAGGGCCAGGGGGTGATTTTTTGCCAGACTGACCCCCCCTGACTCGTTTCTCCTCTTCTCCATCAGCTTTGACTCCCGGGTGAAGGTGTTCGCCAACGGGACGCTGGTGGTGAAGTCGGTGACGGACAAAGACGCGGGCGATTACCTGTGCGTGGCCCGCAACAAGGTGGGCGACGACTACGTGGTGCTGCAGGTGAACGTGGAGATGAAGCCCGCCAAGATCGAGCACAAGGAAGGAAACGACCACCGCGTCTTGTACGGGGGGGACCTCAAGGTGGACTGCGTGGCCACGGGGCTGCCCAACCCGGAGATCTCGTGGAGCCTGCCGGACGGCAGCCTGGTCCACTCCCTCATGCAGGCGGACGACAGCGGGGCGCGCACCAAGCGCTACGTGGTCTTCCACAACGGCACGCTCTACTTCAACGAGGTGGGCCCGCGCGAGGAGGGGGACTACACGTGCGTCGCCGAGAACCAGGTGGGCAAGGACGAGATGCGAGTGCGCGTCCAGGTGGTGGCCGAGCCCGCGGCCATCCGGAACAAGACCCACTCGGTGGTGCAGGTGCCTTACGGGGAGGTGGCCACCGTGCCTTGCCAAGCCAAGGGGGAGCCCGTGCCCAAGGTCACTTGGTTCTCTCCAGCCCACCGGCCCATCCCTGCGTCGTCGTCGTCGGACAAGTACGAGGTCTCCGACGACGGGACGCTCCTCATCCACAAGGCGCAGCGCTCCGACAGCGGGAACTACACCTGCCTGGTCCGGAACAGCGCGGGCGAGGACAGGAAAACGGTGTGGGTCCAGGTGCACGTGGAGCCCCCCAGGATCAACGGCCACCCCAGCGCCCTCACCACGGTCAGGGAGGTGGCCACCGCGGGCAGCCGGAAACTGCTGGACTGCCAAGCCCAGGGCATCCCGTCGCCCAGGGTGCTGTGGGCCTTCCCAGAGGGTGTCATCCTGCCCGCGCCCTACTACGGAAACCGGGTCACCGTCCACCGCAACGGCTCCCTGGACATCACCAGAGTGAGGAAGACGGACTCGGTGCAGCTGGTGTGCATCGCGCGCAACGAGGGCGGAGAAGCCAGGCTCATGGTGCAGCTCACGGTCCTGGAGCCCCTAGAGAAGCCCGTCTTCCACGACCCGGTCAGCGAGAAGATCACGGCCATGGCCGGCCACACCATCAGCCTCAACTGCTCGGCCTCGGGGACCCCGCCGCCCACGCTGCTGTGGGTGCTGCCCAACGGCACCGAGCTCCCGAGCGGCCGGCAGCTGCAGCGATTCTACCACAAGCGCGACGGCATGCTGCACGTCAGCGGGCTGTCCCCGGTGGACGCCGGGGCTTACCGCTGCGTGGCGCGCAACGCCGCCGGCCACTCGGAGAGGCTGGTGTCGCTCAAGGTGGGGCTGAAACCCGAACCGAGCAGGCAGTACCACAACCTGGTGAGCATCATCAACGGGGAGAACCTGCGGCTCTCCTGCGCCCCTCCCGGGTCCAGCCGGGGCCGCTTCTCGTGGACCCTCCCCAATGGCATGGCTCTGGACGGTCCCCAAGACCTGGGACGCGTCTCCGTCTCGGAGAACGGCAGCCTCACAGTGCGAGAGGCCTCGGTGTTCGACAGGGGCACCTACGTGTGCAGGGTGGAGACCCCCTACGGCTCGTTGGTGGTCAGCACCCCGGTCATCGTGATCGCCTACCCGCCGCGCATCACCAGCGAGCCCGTGCCCGTGGTCTACACCCGCCCGGGGAACACGGTGAAGATGAACTGCTTGGCCATGGGGATTCCCAAAGCGGAGATCACGTGGGAGCTGCCGGACAAGTCGCAGCTGACCGCCGGGGCCCAGGCCCGTCTCTACGGGAACCGGTACCTTCATCCGCAGGGATCGCTGTCCATTCAGCACGCCACCCAGAGGGACGCCGGCTTCTACAAGTGCACGGCCAGGAACATCCTGGGCACGGACTCCAAAACCACGTACGTCCACGTCTACTGACCACCTCCGCAGGACGCACGTGGGAGGCCGCTGCGCACTGGGAGGTGAGACCCAGTGAGGTCATTTGTAAGGAAATTCAGGGCTTGAGGGTGGGAGCTCGGAAAGGAGTCGCACTAGGGCACTTTGGTCCCCCGTGGGGTTCAAGGTCACGCTCACCTTGACCTAGCATCCTTGGCCAAAAAGAAGCGCTGATACCCCCAGCAAGGAGGACCCGGATTGTCTTGCTATCCCCTGTGAAACAGGATCACCTGGTGCATTCCCAGCCGTTTTTTTTTTTTTTTTTTTTTTTTTTAATTTTCACAGGATGGAACATTCTAGAAATTTCTGGCCATTTCCTCTGTTGCTTCAGAATTCCCTTAAAGGGCTCAGAGCCAGAGGGGGTCAGTGCCTTTTTTTTTAAATCTCGGGTTTCCTATGCACACCGTGTCGGATGTAAAGACTTTTCTCTGGAAATATCTATACTGTTATAAATATTAAAAAAAAAGTAATTTGTTTTCTTCCCCCTTCAGACGATGAGAGTAGAAAGAGAGAGAGAGAGAGACTTTCTAGCTCATTAAAAAATAATAAATTATTGGTCTTTACAAGACTCGGGTACATTCGAGCAGACGTGGAAATGCCACTCGACACAAATTTCTCCCCGGGGCCGCCTTCTGGAACCCTGCATTGGTGGTTGGTGGGGGTGCTGGTGTGTATGGGGGCAGGCTGGGATATTGAATTTCCTTGCACGTCAAATTCATCTTGAAAGCTGTCCTTGGGTGATGTAAACAGGAGCCAAAGGAAAAGAGGAATCCAGGCCCCCAGAGAAGGGCACTGCAGAGTCTTCTAAAAATAAATAGCAAAATTTAAAAAGCCACCAGACTGCTCTGCGGTGCCTTACCTGTCAATCAAGTCCAACCAGCTGCCCCCCCACCCCAGCCAAGGTCAGGAGGCACTGAGGAAGGTCAGGAGAGCTGCTATTCCCATGAACTGCTTTATTGTATTTTTAAGGTCCATATGCTGTACATTTGACAATAAAGTGATCTTTTCCAAAGACCTGGGCTGTGAGTTTTGCAAGAGCCAATGAATCGGGGGCTCAGTCAGAGCTTTTGGGGGGAAAACAACTGCTTTTACGCACTGCATTTCAGCCATTCTCTGTAAGTTTTTAGACAGGGAAGGAGACGGGGGGGGGGGATTCTTGCTTTGTTTGCAAAAATTCTTCTTCTTCTTCTTCCTGTCAAAGACACGTCTACATGTCCTGGCATTCCTGAAGCAGGAAAACCTCTCATTCCTTGGCTTCTCCGGAGAGACTCTCATTCTTTGGAATTCTCTGGGGAGGGAGAGAAACAGCAAACTTAAGATACATCCTCGGGAAGAAGGTACCGGGGGGGCCCCCGTGGGCATTTTGGCAAGCTCACGTCTGCCAAATGCTGAACCGTTCCCGTCCCCGCGTGGAAAGAATGCTTGCTTGTGCTTCAAGAGTCTGTGGGAAGCACAGGGGTATCTCTCCTTTATTCATTAATACGTGGGTTAATGAGTGGCACGGAACAGGACAGGCACCTGGGGAGGAAGTGGATCCTGTCTGAAGGATTGGTGCTCCCAAGAGAGGGCTCTGGGGCTGGGGGTGCTCTGGGGTGGGCCATGCTGTGCGCTGCAGGGT